GATTATTTCGCCGTCAGTCACGCTGCCAGAGAGAGAGAGAGAGAGAGAGAGAGAGAGAGAGAGAGAGAGAGAGAGAGAGAGAGAGAGAGAGAGAGAGAGAGAGAGAGAGAGAGAGAGAGGGGGGGGGGGCAGAGAGAGAGAGGGAGAGAGAGAGGGGGAGAGAGAGAGAGAGAGAGAGAGAGAGAGAGAGAGAGAGAGAGAGAGAGAGAGAGAGAGAGAGAGAGAGAGAGAGAGAGAGAGAGAGAGATAGAGGGAGGGGGGAGAGAGAGAGAGAGAGAGAGAGAGAGAGAGAGAGAGAGAGAGAGAGAGAGAGAGAGAGAGAGAGAGAGAGAGAGAGGAGGGGGAGAGAGAGAGAGAGAGTAGAGATTAATTTAGCATTACCACAAGAGATTATCTCCATATATCTAGAGGCGCAAATACCCTAATAATACATAAAAAAATGTTGTTTGTTTTCGCAGCATAAAATTTCAATAATAGCTTTAACACTTTCTACGTTAATTATATTACATTTGCCACTATTGGTGATTTTTAAATATTGCTCTGATATCGTAACCGGAAGGACTAACGAAGTCAGAGATATTAACAAGTATTTTTATTAGTGGTTTGTGGTTAGCAACATATAATAGCGAAGAGAGTGCATGCTATGCTCTTTGAATATTTGCAACATACACACGTAATGTGTGTGTGCTGATGGATAGAAATATAACAACAGGAAAAAAAAATATATATTGACATATAGATTAATAGATATACGGGGAAAGGGAGAGGGAGAGAGAGAGAGAGAGAGAGAGGAGAGAGAGGAGAGAGGATGAGAGAGAGAGAGAGAGAGAGAGAGAGAGAGAGAGAGAGAGAGAGAGAGAGAGAGAGAGAGAGAGAGAGTACAACATAGACTAGCCAGATAAAGAGCGGAGAGAGAGGGAAAAGTCAGTCAGGAAGAGAGCAGGCGAGAGAAAGAGAGAGAGATAGATAGATAGATGGATAGAGAGAGAGAGTGCAACATAAACTAGCCAGATAAAGAGCGAAGAGAGGGGGAAAATCAGTCAGGAAGAGGGGGCCAATGAGTACAACATAGACTAGCCAGATAAAGAGCGGAGAGAGAGGGAAAAGTCAGTCAGGAAGAGAGCAAGCGAGAGAAAGAGAGACAAGGAGAGAGAGAGAGAGAGATAGATAGATAGATGGATAGAGAGAGAGAGAAAGAGAGAGAGAGAGAGTGCAACATAAACTAGCCAGATAAAGAGCGAAGAGAGGGGGAAAATCAGTCAGGAAGAGGGGCAATCGAGAGAGAGAGAGAGAGAGAGAGAGAGAGAGAGAGAGAGAGAGAGAGAGAGAGAGAGAGAGAGAGAGAGAGAGAGAGAAAGAGAGAGAGAGAGAGAGAGAGAGAGAGAGAGAGAGAGAGAGAGAGAGAGAGAGAGAGAGAGAGAGAGAGAGAGAGAGAGAGAGAGAGAGAGAGAGAGAGAGAGAGAGAGAGAGTGCAACATAGACTAGCCAGATAAAGAGCGGAGAGAGGGGGAAAGTTAGTCAGGAAGAGGGGCAAGCGAGAGAGAGAGAGAGAGAGAGAGAGAGAGAGAGAGAGAGAGAGAGAGAGAGAGAGAGAGAGAGAGAGAGAGAGGGAGGGAGGGAGGGAGAGAGAGAGAGAGAGAGAGAGAGAGAGAGAGAGAGAGAGAGAGAGAGAGAGAGAGAGAGAGAGAGAGAGAGAGAGAGAGAGAGAGAGGTGGGGGTGGGGGGGGAGGAAGCGAGAGTGAGAGTAAGTGAGAGTGAAAGAGAGCAAAGAGAGCAAAGAGAGAGAAGCAACGTGGAATGTATAAAAAGGACAAACCTACAGTTCTTTAACACAAAAAGGAATATATGGAAATGAACTGAAAAAAATTCTTTTAAATAGAATTAATCATCAGTCAGTGGAAACAAGGCTAATTCAACCCACCATCAACCATACACGCGGAGATGCCAGGTATCGCTGCAAATTTCATTAAGCTCTGTGGATGAGAACTTTGCAAGGTAGTTTATGGAAATAGAGTAAAACACGTTCTTATTCATTCCTCACTGATTGTAGTATACTCATAGAGTAACGTAGTGTAGTAGCATATCCCTTTAAACATTTAACGTTCAGGTAAAAAAAAGTAAAAATATCGAGGATGGTAATATACCGAGACTGAATAGTATATAGTATTTATATGTTTTAAAGGGCCCCTTCAAATAATCTTACTCTGCAGTGCTTGTGTGTAAAAACATTTGAAACTAAAATAGTGTTGAAGTGTTTTTTTGACTGGATTTATGGTACTTGGATTTAAAACGTTTAAAATACAATGTCTGATTAATGTTTATCCGAACTTTATAAAAATAATTTGTACAGAATAAAAGCGCCCAAGTATGTTAAAAGGCAAAGGATATAAACGAAGTACGTTTGTATAAGGAGATGGAATTAAGTGTTTAAATTTTGCTAAAGTGTTATGGAGAGCCGCCGCACCCTGAAGGTTCCTCCGGCCGCCGCCAGATGGCACTAGTCGACAGAGAGCGTTGTTGATGTCGTTAGACTGCTACAGTAAACAAAGCTGATTTCTTCACCGTTTTAAGCTTTTCTAAGGACTAAATCCCTCTTTGGAAGTGGTGCCTTGAACAATGATGGTAAGTAGTCGTCTCGAGAAAAGGGACAAGCGAGGGAGGACGAGCGGGAAGAGAGAAACGAGTGTTTTTTTAGTAGCATGTTCCAAGACGCTCTTTGGCGAGTGTGTGTGTGTGAAGTGAGTCAAAGTGAGTCAAAGATCCTCCCGAACCTGAGTGTTGAGGGAGTCCCGTGCCTCAGCCTCTGGGGACAGGTTAAGGTCGTCGTCATCGTAATTCATAAGGTCGTGCGTGAAGGTCAGGTCGTGGCAGGTCGTGGAAAACTCTCCCCTTTGACAGGTGGAAATTAAAGTAAAGGGGAGTGTGTGTGAGAGAGAGAGGCAGCGGTTTTGCACCAACACGTAGGCCTAATGTGAGGAAGAAAAGTATTAATAAATGAAGATAAGTGTTAGGTGCATTTGGTCTCGGACGAGGAAGTTGTCTTTGTTGTGCAGGTGAAGTTAGAGACGGTGAGCACAATAATGAAGTGAAATAAAGTGTCTTTTTTTCCAAGGGAAATTTAAAGGGATGGTGTGGAGATGGTGTCTTTTGAGCCTCCTTTTTCAGTGATGGATATTAGAAACAAATGTGCATTTTTTGATATGTTGAGTTGTAAACTGCTAAAGGTGAAGACAGATTGACTTCAGATTGAATAAATACAGTGTTATGAGAGTAGTAAGATAAATAAAAGAGAAATTGCTGAAGGTTTGGGCTGCGATGGCACCTGTATCTAATTTCCTGTCATTAACATTAAATTAGCATAGTATTGATCTTTGGATGACCACATATTGAGAAATCAACAATTTAAAGTGATTGTTGTGTATTTTGAATGTGTTGCAGTAAAGTTCAGTGCACATATTATACAATTTTTAGATAATAGTAATCACTTCTAGGTTTTAATTCACCCATTTTAATGTCATATCCTATTTAGCATACAGTGAATAATTTGCAAACTAGCTGTCAGTTTGTAAGGAATGTTTATTCAGTATCAAATAGATGCAATCTAAATATCATTATGAAAACTATCCTTATCCATGTTCATTTATCTTTGCTCTTGTGCTCTTTTCATATATGAGGGTGTGATTGACACCTTGATTATGCAAGACTGACACTGATCTCTCTTGCAACTACAGTTTGAGATAAGGCTTGTATGGGCATGTTGTGTTTGGATGAGTCACTATTTTTTCTGTATGTCGAAGGAAAGATGATGTTTTGCCTTGATGTATAGTGGTCAAGTGTCAAAAGTCCTATTTGCTGTTTTTGATCTTCCACCAGGGAAGAATGATAAGAGAGGATTATTCGTAAAATTTCGTCTGTAAATATGTGACAACTTCATGTGTACAAGAGTAAAGTGAATGTAAAGAGAAAATTCCGGTAAAAGTCGTGAAACCCCTGCCTTTTTTTCCTATGAGAGAATTGAAGCATCCACCCAAGCCTAAGGGGGGCATACTGTAAATGGACTGTAATTGTTGCAACAAAGAAATATCCAGTAGTCTGTCATGGAGGAGGCATTTTGTTGATGATATGTGCATAAGCTTCCTGGTAAAATTTCTGTGACCAGACTTTTAAGAAAAGAAAATGACAGAATCTATCTATCTATCTATCTATCTATCTATCTATCTATCTATCTATCTATCTATCTATCTATCTATCTATCTATCTATATATTATAATTCAGGTACTGAACTAAGGCAATGTCCCTGTATAAAATTGATTTATGAATATAAGACAGACACACAAACATACTTTGACAGAGGTATACGGATAGATGCAGAGACACATACACATATACAGATACAAACATACATACAGATACATACATACAGATACATACAGATACATACATACAGATACATACAGATACATACAGATACATACAGATACATACAGATACATACTCACAGGCACACCTACATACTTACAGACACACCTACACACAGGCACACCTACACACAAGCACACCTACACAGAAGCACACCTACACACAGGCACACCTACACACAGGCACACCTACACACAGGCACACCTACACACAGGCACACCTACACACAAGCACACCTACACACAGGCACACCTACACACACAATCCCCAACACACACACCTCTACACATACATACCCTTACACACACCCTTACACATACATACTCCTACACCCCTCCCCTACATATACCCCCCCACTCACCCCCACACCTCCCCACTCACCCACACACCCCTAAACACCCCTACACCCCCCCTATACACACACCCTACACACACACACCTACACACACACACACCTACACACACACACACCTACACACACACACACACCTACACACACACACCCCTACACACACACACCCCTACACACACACACCCCTACACACACAAGCCCCTACACACAACACCCCTACACACACAC